CCCTGCCGCTGGCTCCAGCGCCGTGCTCTGCTCCAACTCAGCCATCTCGGAGCCGGCGCCTCTGCAGCACATTCCCTTCCCGTGAGGTTATGCCACAGCATTAAAATCCCGGCGTGTTTTACCGGCACTGTGCGACACTCCCGGGTGTGAGCTTTTGGCACGGGCACGGCAGGTTCCCCCCCGCCGGTCACACCGGTGCCGCTGGGGGAGATCGGCTGCGATGCGGTGGCAGTTCCCATCAGCACCGGAGTAGCTCTTGGTTTTGGGGTCCAGGTTTGCATCTCCTCCTCCATGGCAGTTGCTTTCAGAGGGTTTTGTTCCCTTGTTTTGGCTCATGCCAAAGCGAATGGTTTGGGTCCAAGTTGCTGGGCAAGTGCAGCCCTGCCGAGTTTGCACGGCCCTGGGTGACATGGGGACAGTCACAGCAGCTCAGGCCCCTCCAGTTCAGTCTGTGGTGGGGCACCTGCATCTCATGGGGTGGAGAGGAAGGGCTGTTACCTGTTACACTCATTACTCTGCTTCACATGTCCTCTCCTCTCCAGGGACCTGATGGCAGAGCCTGAGCCGCCTCCAGAGCTGCAGCTGGATGAAGCCGGAGCACCCTCATCCTCACAGGGAGCGGCTGTGGGTGCTGCTCCACACCCGGACCTTTCAGGCAAACCAATAGACCCAGCAGTGGATGTGGGGGTGACACCCCCGCACAGGGGCAGCCCTGACACCTGCCAGGACCTGCAAGCAGACCCTGGGGACACTTCCTTGGAGCTAAACATGCCAGGGCTCCAGCTGGACCAGGACACGGCTGGGACTGGGATCCCGCTAGATGTGGATGCAGATGGAGCTGGGATCCCACTGGACGTGGGTGGAATGGGGATCCCAGTGGATGTGGATGGGGCAGGAATCCCACTGGACGTGGATGCAGGGGGGACAGAGATCCCACTGGATGTGGATGAGGCAGGGATCCCATTGGATGTGGATGTAGATGGAGTTGGGATCCCACTGGACATGGGTGGGACAGGGATCCCGCTGTACATGGACACAGGCGGAGCAGGGATCCCAGACGACGTGGACGCAGAGGTGGCCGGGATCCTGCTGGACATGGACGCAGAGGGTCCATCCCTGGATGTGGATGTTGCAGAGTATCAGTGCCTGACCCTTGAAGAGCTGGGCGAATACTTCCAGGAGTGCATCGACGCCGTCGAGCAGCTGGAGAAGGAGAGGGACAGCCTGATCGCCGAGCTGGCCCAGCTCCGGGAGCCGGCGCTGCAGGAGATCCGCCATGCCCACGAGGAGATCCAGGCCGCCTGCCGACTGCTGGCCAAGGCGGAGCTGGAGAGGGACAACCTGAAGGATGAGATCCGACAGATCAAGCAGAAGCTGTTCAAGGTGACCAAGGAGTGTGTGGCTTGCCAGTACCAACTGGAGAGCCGGCGGCACGACCTCTCCCAGCACGCTGCGTACCGGGGCGAGCTGGAAACCAGGGCCGAGCAGCTCTCGGGCGAACTGTCCCAGCTGAAGGAGACCTGCGAGAAGGAGAAGGAGGTGTTGAGGCAGCGGCTGGAGGCTCCGCCGTCTCGGCAGGATAACCTGTACCTGCAGGAGAGCCGCCGGCTCTCGGTGGAGTTCGAGAGCTTCGTGGCCGAGAGCCGGCGGGGTCTGGAGGAGCACTACGAGCCCCAGCTGCTGCGGCTGCTGGAGCGGCGCGAGGCGGGGGCCAAGGCGCTGCAGGAGATGCAGGGGGAGATCCAGAGCATGAAGGAAGCCCTGCGGCCCTTGCAGGGGGAGGTGAGCCGCCTGCGCCTGCAGAACCGCAGCCTGGAGGAGCAGATCGTCCTCGTCAAGCAGAAGCGAGATGAGGAGGTCGGGCAGTATCGGGTACGTGCCCTGGCCGGGTGCACCTCGCACCCTCTTGTTTGGGGAGTGGGAGTCGGTGACTTGTGGGCGCTGAGGGCTTTGCTCGTAGGGCCAAGGGGAGGGTGAGGAGGAGAATGAGGTGGAAAATCTCCCGCTGATAAAGCCAAACGTATACCCTATCCTGTATACCCTGTCCTGGCACAGGCGGGCAAAGGGCAAACCCAAAGTTACAGGGATGTGGTGAAAAGTGCTGGGGATTCACTCACTTTGCTGCCAGAAAAACGCTTTCTCCTGGTGATATTCTCACTTGGTTCTGACCTGCCCATCAGAAATGGCCCCAGCAAGCAGAGATGAGTGGAGGGGACGGGGGTTTCCTTCCCACAGCTTGCACTAAGGTGCGCTTTGCTGAGCTGAGGTGCTTGCAAAAGCCGTTTTTTTAAATAAAGGTGGCTTTTCTTTGAAAGCCCGGCCCTGCTGGGGCAGATCCTGCCCTTCCCAATGCCAGGAAGGGGCTCACCTCCTGCGCCCTCTCCCCACGGGGTTATTTCTGGCACCCACCCCCAGCACCTCGTCCTGAGGGAAAAGGCAATTCAATCTCTGCAAGAGCACATTTGGCAAAGCGGCTCCACCATTAATCTCCCCCCTTTCAACACTCCCTGTTCTTGGCTCCTCATCGCCGCCTCCTCCCAGCCTGGCTCTGAACAGCCTCTGGCGTCCTCTCACCATCGCTTCTCCTCCCCATTGAGCTGGGGACCAGGGCACCACCACCCACAACTCTGCTCTCCCTTGCAGGACAGGGCTTGGGCCATCAATGATGTGCCTCCACATTTCCTTTTACCCCAAATTCCTTATTTATCTTCTCCTGACTCATGGGTTTATGCAGTTCTCAAAACAGTCTAGGGGACAAAAGGAACCAGCCAAGAAAAGCCCAAGGACACAAAGTGTCACATCCCAGCCCGAGCATCCCCATTTGTAACAAAACAAAGCTTTTTTGGGGATGTTTTTTACGACAGTGACTTTAAGACTCCCCCAGTTAACCCAGTCTGGTCTTGTCGCTGCCCAGGAGCAGGTGGAGGAGCTGGAGGACCGACTGAAGGAGCTGAAGAACGGGGTCCAGCTCCAGCAGCGCAAGAACCAGGAGCTGGAGGAGCTGAGGAGCAGCCTCCACCGCGAGCTCTCCATCTACAAGTGGGTCTGGTCCCTGCAGTGCGGAGGGGCTGGGGAGGGCCGGGAGGAGGAGCAGGGTGAAGAAGAGGGGCTGGCGCTCACACAGCCATCAGAAAAGTGCCGGTTTCCTTAGGAATATGCGGAAAATATTTGGGGTTTAGGGTTGGGAAATAGCATTGTGGATGCTCTTCAATGAGAGAGACCCATCTGCTTTTCACCCTCTAGTGCTGGTTTCACTCAGATCTTTATTCACGGGGTTTTTTTAAAGCTCCAGAAGATGTCCATAAGTTTGTGGACTATTTTACTTACCAATCTTTGTGCTGTTACGTGCTACTCCATCACAGCTGTACACACTCGTAACCATTTTCTGTAGCTTCAGTACTTTATTTGCCCCTTCTCCTCTCAAACCTCCTCATGCAATGCACCCTAGGACATTCCCTACCACAAAAAGGTGTAGCTTTCTTTCATCCAGGTAAGGTTTTAGCAGGATGAACA